GTGTGTCTGCATATGGGTGCTATAAAAATGAGAACTGGTGGTCAGTGAGAAAACTTGTAGAAGAATTTACCTCAGAATATATGAAATTAATGTTACCTGGTGTCTTCTAGTGCTCTCCTTCTGTTTATTTGTTTTAAAAATCTTTATTGTTGAAAGTATTATATATGCCCCCCTTTTCCCTACTGACCCCTTCTAGTCCAGCCCCTCCTCCTGTTATGAAATCAGGGCAAAAAGAATGCTTGTCTCCATTTAAATCACTTATCTAAGTTGAAATTCATGCCATGAACTACTAAAGTTCCTTTCTGGAAAGAACGTCACTCACTTTGAAACAGCAGTTTAGAAAACCAGAAGCTCAGCAGCTATGGAATTTCCTCTCTTTACTCCTATCCATCCCAGCATCACAAACATGATAAAGCAGTGAGAAATAAGCCACATGAAAGAATCCTGTTCTTAGAAAAGGGAGCCTAGAAGAGAGGAGGATCCAAGATGGCTGCACAGGTAAACACCTAACCGCAGCCGCGCACAACAATTTCAATAAAATACAACTAAAATATAAAGTGGACATTAACCAGAACTACAGGAAAGTCGACTGACTGGAAATTCTACAACAAGAAGCAAGGAGAAAACCAGAAGGAAGAGCGGAGGAGCTGTAAAAACCTAAGGTACGGAGACATGCAGCGCATGCGGAGAGGACAGAGCCGGAGAGGAGGGGGCGACTGAGTGCCTGGCTGGTGTTCCCTAGCGGGAAGGAGATAAAAGCTCCAGACTATGCTGAGCCCCAGTTCCGACTGCTCTGAACCCCAGTTCTAGGCCAGACCCCGGGGACCCAGGCTCAAACAGAGGGAGACTGGGCTGTAAGGTGGAAACCCAAGGGAGTGGCAAAAGGCAGAGCCCCCGGAGGCGTGCACATTGCGCACAGAGAAGGGACTGTTGGCTGTGCCACAGGATTGCCCTGGCAGGAAGGAGACAAAAGCTCCAGACTGCTCTGAACCCCACTTCCAACCCACTTCCAACTGAACTGAACCACAGTTCCGGGCTCATTGGGGGAGAGACTAGACTGTTTGGTAGCAGGTGAAACTTGAGGGCACCTCACTCTCAGAGGTGCTTGCAGTGAGTACCAAAGGACCCTGAGGAATACTGAGACTCAGGAGCCGCATAGGGTGTAGCTGACGTGACTAATTGAAGCCAAGGCTGTAGGCTCCACCCTGAAACTCTGCCCCATCAGGGAAGCTGTGAAAATGCCCAGACAAGGAAATAGATCACAAACGAAAGAAATGGAGGACAAAAAGTGACTGGATATAGAGTTCAAAACCACACTTATAAGGTTGTTCAAGAATCTCTTAGAAAAGGCCAATAAAATAAACGAGCCCTTTGAGGATATGAAAAGGGATCAACTAGAAATAATAAAGGATCAACAAGAAATAATAAAGGATCAACAAGAAATAAAGCATACATTGTCTGAAATAAAAATATTATACAGAGTCCTAAAAACAGAATGGAAGATCGCAAGAATCAAGTCAAAGATTTGGAACATAAAAAGCCAGAAGTCATTCCTCCGCAGAAGCAAGAAGGTAAGAGAATCCAGAAAATTGAAGATAATGTAAGAAAACTCTGGGACAACTTCAAGCGAACCAACATCAGGATTATGGGGGTCCCAGAAGATGAGAGAGAGCAAGATATCAAAAACATACTGAAAGAAATAGTGACAGAAAACTTCCCCTACCTGGTGAAAGAGTTAGACTTACAAGTGCAGGAAGCTCACAGAACTCCAAACAAAAGGAATCAAAAGAAGACCACACCAAGACAAATCATAATTAAAATGCCAAGAGCAAAAGACAAAGAGAGAATATTAAAAACAGCAAGAGCAAAGCAGGTAGTTACCTATAAAGGAGCACCTATACAATTGTCAGCTGATTTCTCAACAGAAACCATGCAGGCCAGACAGGAATGGCAAGAAATATTCAAGGTGATGAATAGTAAGATCCTACAGCCAAAAATAATCTACCCAGCAAAGCTATCACTCAGAATTGAAGGCCAGATAAAGAGTTTCACCAATAAAAAAAAAAGCTAAAGGAGTTCATCACCACCAAACCAGAATTATATGAATTGCTGAAGGGGGTTCTTTTGGAAGAGATATTAAATAAAGATAAAAACTATGAACAACAAATATGTAACTATCAACAAGTGAATCTAAAAACCAAAAAATTTTTAAAAAATCTGATGAACAATATTAACTGTTGAATACAATAGAATCAGAGGTATGGAAGGAAAGTGAACTGACGATTCTCGGGGAAAAGGGGAGATGGGGATGTGGGAAGAGACTGAACATAAACTGTGCACCTATGGGTGAGGACAATGATGGGTGGGGAAAGGGCAGAGGGTGGGGTGGGAGCCTGGTGGAGGGAGCAACAGGGGGAGGGGGGGAAGAGGAACATCTGTAATAGTATGAACAATAAAGATTTAAAAATAAAAAATAAAAAATAAACAAAAACCACAATGCAGACGGAGAAAGGGGCCACAGAAGAAAGGAAAGCACTTTTCCTGCTTTGTAAGGTGCTCCATGTTTTCGTTTTGCACTGGGCCCTACAAATTATGCGCCTGGCTTGCTGAATTCAAATCTTCAGGGAAGAGTCAGGGATTTTGCATATTCATCAAGATGCCAACATAACTGCTATGTTCTACAGACTCTTTCCAATCAGCATATAAATATGTTCAATTTTTGCAGGGCTAAACAAATAGACTGGCAAACCAAACACCCAATACCACCTCTCTCTGAAGCCTTTTACTATGGACTTGAAATAGTCTCTATGCACTGTCTGTACTTCTCCATCTACTGCAAACCAACTGCAGTTGCTAGCATTCCATAGAAACTGGTCTTGCCAAGGTCAGCAAGTACATTTTATCCTAAAAAAAAAAGGGGGGGGGGGAGCCTAGTCCAGCACCTAGTGGAGGATGTGCTCCATTCTAGTGAGACATTTTTTTCAATCATATAGAAAAAAAATGCAGTTTTCTTTTGAAAAAATAAAAATTTAAAATTTTAACACTTAAAAGTCAGGGATATATATATATATATTTGTTGGCTTTTTAATTCCAAAACATATTGGGACTATTAGAAGATTCAAGAAAGTGTGGAACTATTATAGACAATTTTTCAACCTAAGTTTTTTCAAGATTCTCTTGCAGATTAAAAATTTTGATGAAGAAGGTTCTTTATGACTTGATCTGGCCCCCGTTTAGCTGACTTTGAAAGGGCCTTATGCATATCAGATATTTGTGTAACTTGGATCAGTGTTCATTAACATAGTTTCATAACCAATGAGGGAGCCAGATTTTTTGGTGCTTACTTCATTTAAAAAATTTTGGAGGGGTATATTTCTAAAAAATAATACAAAAACACCTTACCTTTGTAAACTTTGTAATAACACATAGCCACGTGGACAAATTGCAAGGGCCCTCCTCCTAGTGATGGATCTTGAAACTTAAACTATATTAGCTTCAAGGTAAATCTGCCTGTGTTCCCAACATTTTGAAAGGTGCTCATGTGTTCAGTAGGAAGGATGCAAGGAGGGTGGAGAGAGGCATGTTGGTGATGATCAATGTCAGTGTAGTAAAAGCAAGAAAAGAAACCCCAAATTGTTTAAAGAAGTGGGAACTCTCCATAGTACATGAAGAAAACACTAAATTCTTGAAAATGTTCAAAGAAAGTTGGTCTCTACTCTCACACATAATTAGATTTGTTATGTTTTTGTTCTCTTAGTCTAGTCTCAAAAAATGCCAATCTATTTCTTTATGATGTTCCATGGATAGAATTGATACAATATTAAATTAGCTACTTAAAAAAATCTTCATTGCTGAAATGTGAAATGTCCACATTAGTGTTCATCTCTGTGCATACTGCTCTCTTATTTAACCTCACAAACTTTACTTTTGACTGTTATTTGATTGCCTGAAGGAGGAAAATAGCTCATGTACTTAAAGTTTATTATTAACCAGCATTTTAAGTGTTAGAAAATTGAATAGTGTTACATAAACTTTGATTCATTAAGGTATTAAAATTGTATCCTTTTTTGAACCAAATGCATTCATCTTTATTTTTTGTTTATTTTTATTGTTGACACTATTACAGATGTATCCCATTATTATCTCCCCTTTGTTATTGTAAAGCTTAGACATAACTTATGAAATGGTTATATATCCTTTTAAAAAGTCAACATTCCACAAATCACAACGTAGAAAGTAGCTAATTATTTTGGAAAACGAGGGGAAATTTTAAAATACATTTACCAAATGTGAAATCTCTGCACTGTTGGAACCACCATTGTCCATGAACAGTAGTTGTGTTGGGTTATTTAATCATATAGCTTTAGTTGTAAGGAGCAATTTCAGGGGCAATTTATTTCTTAAAAGGCTTCTAAAATATAGGTGGCTGTTTCTTAAAGAAAACCTGCTGTATGAAAACCCAAACTTTACAAAATTGGAAACTTAGGGGGTGATAAATGACATAATAAGTTATTCTTTTCTTTAAAAGGGTAGCCATGGAGTTTCTTTAAATAACGTATTTCTCTAGTGTAGTTCAAATGTAGTAGAAAGACACTTTTTATAGCCTTCGCTTCTGGCTGGCTGTGCTCTGGGAAAGCCTGTTCTTCACCTCTCTTAGCTACAGTTTTTCTCTGGCAGAATAGGAATTACAACCTTCCAGATAGTTTTGAGAATTTAATGAGATACTATGTGGCAACATAGTGCCTGACATGTGACAATTACTTTATAAATGCTACCTGAAAGTACTGATTTAGAATATTTCTTATAAAGAAAACAGATTTACTTCCCCTGGGTATTTTTATTTATTTTCTTGGATAAATTTTTTGGTTGTTTTTAGGTTTACTAATGACATTTATGATGGTAAGAATTAAAAATACACTTATGCACATTTTAATGAAAGTAATTTTAGCAACCTGTTTGTAATAGCATTTCATAAGTCCATTTATTAAAAATAAACTATAGTGCTCACTTCAGCAGCACAAACTCTAAAATTGGAATGTTGCAGAGAATATTAGCATGGCCTCTGTGCAAGGATGACATGCAAATTCATGAAGCCTTCCATATTTTTTACATCAGGACAGAAGGGAATGGAATGAAGTATACAAAGTGATGCAAAGCAAGGGACTGAAATAAAGAATATTCTACCCAGCAAGGCTATCATTCATAATTTAATGGGAAATCAGGAGTTTAGTAGGCAAAAAAAAAAAAAAAATGCTAAGGGAGTTTATTACCACCAAGCCAGCAATGTAATAAATGCTAAAGGGACTGCCAAAAAAAGAAGAATTAGAAAGAGAAGGAACAGAGGCATAAAGAGTAAAAATGGCAACAAACAAGTACCTATCAATAATAACCTTAAATGTAAAGGGATTAAATGCTCAAATCAAAAGACATAAGGTAGCTGAATGGTTAAGAAAACATGACCCATATACACTGAGTGGCCAGATTATTATGATCTTTGAATGCATAATAATCTGGCCACTCAGTGTGTGTGTGTGTGTGTGTGTGTGTGTGTGTGTGTGTGTATTAGAGGCCCAGTGCATGAATTCATGTTAGGTGGGGTCTGGCCAGCCTGACCAGGGGGAGAGGACATGGGCAGTTGGCCAGCCTGCCTGCTGATTGAACTCCTGGTCAAGGAGATAATTTGCATATTAGCCTTTTATTATATAGGATATACACTCAGTGGCCAGATTATTATGCATTCAGAGATTATAATATTCTGGCCACTCAGTGTATGTATATGTTCTCTACAAGAGACTCACCTCAGAACAAAGGACACACACAAACTGAAAGTGAAGGGATGGAAAAATATTTTTCAGGAAAATGCAAATGAAAAAAAGCTGGAGTAGCAATACTTATATCAGACAAAATAGACCTCAAAGTGAATTCCATAACAAAAGATAAGAAAGGTCACTTAATAATACTGAAGAGAGCAATTCATCAAGAGTATATAACTCTGATAAACATATTTGTACCCAATTCAGGAGCACCCAAATACATTAAAAAAAATTCTGGAAGATATCAGGAAAAGATTGATAGCAATACAGTCATAGTAGTGGAATTTAATACCCCATTGAAACCACTGGATTAATTCTCTGGACAACAATCAGCAAAGAAACAGCAACTCAAAACAAATCACTAGATCATATGGAATTAATTGACATCTTCAGAACATTTCGCCTAAAAAGCTATGAAATATACATTCTTCTCAAGTGCACATGGGACATTTTCAAAGTTATACCACATATTAGGTCACAACCAAAGCATCTACAAATTCAAGAAGATTGAAATCATATCAAGCATCTTCTCAGACCACAATAGCATAAAATTAAAAATCAACTACAATAAAAACAATCAAAAACAATCTAACACATGGAGGCTAAATAGAATGCTATTAAACAATAAATGGGTTACCAAAGAGATCCAAGAAGAAATAAAAAAAAACATTCTGGAAACAAACAAAAATGAAATAAAAACAACCCAAAATCTATGGGACACAGTGAAAGCAGTCATGAGAGGGAAGTTCATAGATCTATAGGCCTACCTAAAACAAACAAACAACAACAACAACAAAAAACCACTAACAAACAAAACAAAAAAAAAACAAGGAAAACTGATAATATGCTATCTAATTCTACAACTTAAAGAACTAGAAAGAGAGCAACAAAAAAAACCCAGACTAGCCAAAACTGTTTTGGCTTAGTGGATAGAGCATCGGTCTTCAGACTGAAAGGTCCCAGGTTTGATTCCGGTCAAGGGCATGTATATTGGTTGTGGGCACATCCCCGGCTGGGGGTGTGCAGGAGGCAGCTGGTTGATGTTTCTCTCTGATGTTTCTAGCTCTCTATCCCTCTCCCTTCCTTTCTGTAAAAAAATCAATCAAATATATTTAGAAGGAAAAAAAGAAAAGAAAAGAAAAACCCAGACTAAAAAGAAAGAAAATAATAAAGATCAGAGTGGAAATATAAGACATAGAGAGCTAAAAAAGAAAACAAAAATATACAAAAGATCAATAGAACCAAGATCTGGATCTCTGAAAGGATAAACATGATTGATGAACCTCTAGCCAGGCTCACAAAGAAACAAAGAGAGAGGACCCAAATTAAAAAAAAATGAGAAATGAAAGAGGTGAAGTAACAACTTATTCCACCAAAATATAAAGGACTGTAAAAAAAAAATACTATGAACAACTCTATTCCAACAAACTGGACAACCTAGATGAAATGGACATATTCCTGAAAAAATACAATCTTCCAAAACTCACTCATAAAGGGTGAGAAAACCTGAATAGGCTGAAAACAACTGATAAAAATGAAGCAGTAATAATACCAATAATAATAATAAACTTCCAGCAAATCAAAGCACTGGTCTGGATGGCTTCACAGAGGAGTTTTACCAAATATTGAACACCTATCCTCCTCAGATTATTCCAAAAAATTCAAGAGGAAGAAACACTTCCAAACTCTTTCTATGAAGCCAGCATTACCCTAATCCAAAAAACCAGATAAATAAACTACAAAGAAAGAGAATTACAGGCCAATATCCCTCATGAACATAAATGCCAAAATCCTCAACAAAATATTGGTAAATCACATCCAGCAATACATTAGGAGGATCATAAACCGTGACCAAGTGGGATTTATTTTTTGGGATGCAGGCTGGTACAATATCTACAAATCAATAAATATGATACATCATATAAACAGATTGAGATAAAAACCACACAATCATATCAACTAATGTAGAAAAGGCATTGACAAAGTCCAACACCCTTTTTTGAACAAAGCTCTCAGCAAAGTAGGAATAGAGGGATCATATCTCAACATACAAACACCTGATATGACAAACCTATAACCAACATCATACTCAATGGGCAAATACTAAAATCCTCCCCTAAGAACAGAAACAAAACAGGGATGAGCACTTTCACCAATTGTCTTCACCATAGTACTGAAAGTACTAGCCATAGCAATGAGGCAAAAAAAGAAAAGAATTAAAAGGTATCCAAATTGGAAAAGAAGTAAAATTGTAATTATTTTCAGATGACATGATAAAAAATCCTAAAGACTCCATTATAAACTACTAGACCTAATAAATGAATTTGCCAACATAGCAGAATACAAAATTAACACCGAGAAATCTATGGCATTTTTATATACCAATAATGAACTCACAGAAAGAGAAACTAAAAGACCAATTCCATTTACCATTGCAACAACAACAACAAAAAAAAATTAAGATACCTAGGAATAAACTTAACTAAGGAGGTAAAAGACCTTGAATCTGAAAACTACAGTACATTGAAAAAGGATATAAAGAAAGACAAACAAATGGAAGAACATACTGTGTTCATGGACTGGAAGGATCAACATCATTAAAATGTACATACTTTCCAAAGCAATGTACAGATTCAATGAAATTTTATTAAAATACCAATGAAATATTTCCCAGACCTAGAACAAACCCTCCAAAAATTAATATGGAATTAAAAAGGCCCATAATAGCCACAGTAATCCTACAAATAAATAAATAAATAAATAAATAAATAAATAAATAATAACTAACAATGTTGGAGGAATCACAATACCAGATATCAACCTATATTACAAAAGCCACTATTCACAAAACTGCAACTGACACAAAAACAGACATATAGAGTAATGGAACATAACAGAACCAGAAATCAACCCAAGCCATTATGTTCAATTAATGTTTGACAAAGGAGGCAAGAGCATAAAATAGAGTCAAGAAAGTCTCTTCAATAAATAGTATTGGGAAAATTAGACAGATACATAAAAAAAGTGAGACTAGACCACCAACTTAAACCATACACAAAAATAAACTCAAAATGGATAAAGGACAAAATCTTAGAAGAATCCATAGGTAGCAAAATATTAGACATATGTCATAGCAATATCTTTACTGATACATCTCATAAGACAATGGAAACTAAGGAGAAAATAAACAAATGAGACTATATCAAAATGAAAAGCTTCTGTATAGCAAAAGAAACAATAATAAAATAATAAGAAAGCCCACTGCACCATAGAACATATTTACTAATGTTACATCTGATAAGGGTTTAAACTCCAAATTTATAGGGAACTCATACAACTTTAAAAAAGGAAGATAAAAATCCAACCATAAAGTAGGCAAAGGACCTAAATAGATACCTTTTGAAAGGAGGCATACAAAAGGTCAAGAGACATATAAAAACATGCTCAATGTCACTAATCATCCAAGAGATGAAAATCAAAATGACAATGAGGTACCATCTCACACTTGTAAATGGCCATCATCAACAAATTAATAAATGACAAGCACTGGCAAGAATATGAAGACTGGGGCAGCCACTGTGAAAAACAGTATGAAGTTTTCTCAAAAATTAAAAATGGAACTGCCATTTGACCCAGTAATCCCACTTCTAGGATTATATCCCAAGAAATCAGAAACACCAATCAGAAAGAATATATGCACCCCTATGTTCATAGCAGCACAATTTACAATAGCTAAGATTTGGAAACAGCCTAAGTGCACATCAGCGGATGAGTGGATTTAAAAACTGTGGTACATCTACACAATGGAATACTATGCTGCTTTAAAAAATAAAGAACTCTTACCATTTGCAACAGCATGAATATACCTGGAGCACATTATGCTAAGTGAAATAAGCCAGACAGAGAAAGATAAATATCACATGATCTCACTCATTTGAGGAATATAATGGACAACATACACAGATGAACAAAAATAGATCCAGAGACACTGAAGCATTGAACAGGCCATCAAACCTCAAAGGCAGGGGAGGGGAGGGTAGGAGGGGGTAAGAGACCAACCAAAGAACTTGTATGCATGCATATAGGCATAACCAGTGGACACACAGAGTATGGGTATGAGGCATGTGCTTCTGGGTGGGAGTGGGCAGGGAGAAGTTAATGTGAGTAAAAGGAAACATAAGTAATACTTTCAACAATAAAGAATTAAAAAAAATAAACTCCAAAGTAGTACTTTCAAATAACTAGATAATATTTATTTTTGAGAGTTTCTTGTGGCAGAGTAAATGGAAGCTAT